TGAGACAAGCACAAGTCAATTTAAAAATCAAAGTGGATTTTGCATTCTGCCTTCTTCCTGATGTATCATTTTTTAAAAATTTGGGAATATTTTAAAATAATGATTGTTAATTATAATTACCTCCCTGGGAATGGGAGTCAAGTTTAAACCTTAGATTCCTATCCTGCTCCCCACTTACTGCTGGACCCTCCTGCGCAGCTACCAGGGCACAGATGTGGAGGGGCTGTGGCCATTCCCATGAAGCACATGCTCAAGAAGTCACTTCTCAATATTCTTTTAACTCACAGGTTATTCCGACACTGAGCCACAGTAATAAAAGAGGAGGAAGTGTGAAAACTAGGGTCCCTGCCAGATGGCTGGTTACAGGATTAGGAACATAGGGGCGGGGGGCGGGGGGGGGGGCACCCCAGGGGTGCTCCCAAAGGCATTTCTCTGTGCTCCAAGGCGCAGGTGCCAGAATCTGATTTCCTTCCTGCCTCTACTCAGGTTCAAATCCAGGCTATGTACATGATCCTCAACTTCTCTTCCCGTTTTCCAGGTGATAACAGCAGCCAGTCTTCCCTCAAGACCCGCCTTTCCCATTTTTGTCTGTTTGGTTCAATGGTAGATTCCCTAGCACACAGTAGGACCTCCATGCATGTTTACTGAATACATGAATGCATTCCAGTAAGGTGCCTAATCATAAATGGACAAGTATATCATGAAACATTTCAGACTGAGCCCAAAATAACCACCAGAGGAAGGAAATCACCTACACGGCCATTTGACCACAACCTAACTGTGGTCTGAATGGGACTCTACAATTTGGTGGCACAAGCTTCTGATAAGCAGTCTAGAAGGTGCCTGCCACAGGGACTGAAAGCATTTCCCAGGTACAGCTCTGAGGCCTCTCATATTTATTTCTGCTCACTTGATATGCACCTCTCCCTTGTCAACCTGGTACAACATGTTTATTTAAGAGATAATGTTGCCGTGGAGGAGTGCACAAGGCAATAAACAGCTTTTGCAGGCAATTAAATGCAGAACTGAAACTGAGCCTCTGGTCAGTGGAAACAGCCATTCATTCTGAGTTTGTACCACTGTCACAAGTGTTATTCCTGTTTCACAACAGGACAGGAATCTGTGATTGGGCCACAAATCTCCACAGGCTGGAGACCAACCTAAAGCACCGGAAGCAGCTTTCAGTACGCAAGCTTTCAGTACACAAGAAAGAGACTTGGGATTCTGGGATGCTGACCCAGTAGACTGCTCTGTTTTTCACATAGGTTTTGAGCTTAGTAGGTATTCAATAATTATTTGCAGCTTGCTTGATTTTATAGGAGACTTATTATATGAAGTCTCAATGCTACAGTGTCTCTGCAAAAATTCAATACCCTCCCAACTAATCTGTAAGAAGTTTAGTTTTAAAAAATTTTGATAGAGTTAATTTTTTTCTAGGAATTAGCAAAGAGAGGAGCTCTTTGCTGAAAAACATTCATGTGATCCCTCAACACACACTGATACATAAAGCAGCAAGGGTGAAGAGTTAGGGGGGAAGTTAGGTCTTAGCAACAGAGTAAAGGAAGCAGATGGAGGAGACACTGGCTAAGATTCAGGCCCTTCGATCAAGCTGGGGAATCGGACCAAGGGAGAATCCAGTCCAAAAAGACTAGCACAGGTGCTCTCCAGGTGCAGCTGTGAGACACCTTCTACAAAGGAGACAGAAATGCATGGCAACCACCAAGGGGGAGCCTTCACGTAGCCTGAGTAGCCCTCTCCTAGAAGTTTCTGCCAGAAGGGAGCAACACACTGCCCAAAGAGCAGAACCACAGCACACTCCTCAAACAGCAGAAATAGCAAGGGTGGAGGGAGGCCTCGTGCTGGATCACTGTTCCCTACACCTCCGCCCAAAGGACTGTGGTTAAGACAGGAGACATCCAGTTTTACCCTGTAAGCACTGGTTGTAAGTAAGTATTATCTTTAGGTGTTCACCACTTAATACTTCTTTATAACATATACACCTTAATAAACATATTTTGCACCATCATAATCTTTATATATCCTTTCAGTTTTGTATTTTCTATGTGGATCAAATTCTTCCCTAACCCTGATAAACATTATTCCATATACATTCATACTGGGTCCACATTCATATGTCACAGCCCTTTAAAACTACAATGTGCATTATGTATACCCTACCTTGTTGCAGAGGGGATTCATGGTGGCCAACTAAAAAAATACATATGAACAAGAGGTTGAAAACTAAATAGATTTAAAAAGAGCATTCCGAGTGAAAATAACAATGAAATAAATTCACTACTGTTAATATTAGCATGGCATTTCTGGGTGTACAGAGAAAAACTTCCATGTATAGTAACCATCTCAGTTCAGCTGCTACACCACCTTATGTACCCATCAGCCCTGAGTCTCAATGTCCTCTCCTATAAGACAGAGACAATGCCATCTGCCTCCCAGGGGTACAGGATGGGAAAGGGTAACTGCTAAACAAACAGGCACCATCATTACTGGTGTTATTACTTACTAAGAGGAGTGGGCACCAATCACAGTAGCAGAAAGGACCTATTTCTGCAAAGTAATCTGTTCTATGAGGACATATTACCAATGGTGACTGGCTATGAAATAGAAAGGCTTAAGACCAGCCCTTTGGGGAAAACAAACTCATATGTTACATGATGTCTTGGTATCTCTCCTGGGCCTCAGACCAGTGACGCCTCTCTCCAGCCTAGCAAGTGATGGTTCTGGAGAAGGTATGCATCGCATCAATACTACATGCCCTTCACAGGAGTAAGAAGATCTGGGCAAGATTTTTCCTCCCACTTTTGCTAGCAGGGGTATAAAAACTTGCCCTCCAGGGGACCTTTCCTTGTACATAGTGGCTGGGGCAATTCTCCGAGACCAGGCAACACCGCCATTCAAGAGAGCTGATCTTCTCCTAGCTATCCCTAAGAGAGGATCTTAGTAAGGGGCCACAGAGGAATCTTCCATACCCTTCCCAGGCTTTCCAGGTAAAGTAAGAACAAACAGTTCCATCTGCCACTGGAAAGATTTTGACAAAGTAAAAGGGTAAATTAATTTAGGAGATATGAAAAATGATCATAAGCTGTCTTTAAGAAAACACTTAACATTTTTCTGTCTCATCCTTTTTCTCATAAGCCAGCAGGTTCAGAGACCTTTCCCACTTTATCCCTAAGTCCTGGAAGCAGCCAGAAAGCCAGGACACTCTCTCATGGAATCTGTAGGATAAGCTGTTTTGTTTGACTGTTTGTTAGTTTGTTTTTAAAGGAGAGGGAGAGAAACATCAATACATGGTTGCCTCTCACACACCCCCATGCTGGGGACCCAGCCCAGAACCCAGGCACATCGTGCCCTGACTGGGAATCAAACCAGTGACCCTTTGGTTCACAGACACTTAGTGCTCAATCCACTGAGCCACACCAGCCAGGGCATGTTTGGTGTTTGTAACAAGATACTTCTTTCTCCTTTCAGAGTGGAAAGAATTCAACAGAAATCAACCTAGAACCTGCCCCAAATCATATAATCTAAATGGCACTTTGAAAGGCGTGTAAGGGTACAGCTTTGAAGGTCCATAAATTGCTGCTTTTCCTTTACACTCATATTACCCCTCAATTCTAACACCAATGTTTTCAGTTCCCTATTTAAAAAATATTAGTTTAGCCCTGGCTGATGTGGCTCAGTGGACTGAGTGCCAGACTTCAAACCAAAGGGTTATTAGTTCAATTCTCAGTCAGGGCACATGCCTGGGTTTCAGGCCAGGTTCCCAGTAGCGGGGCATGTGAGAGGCAACCACACATTGATGTTTCTTTCCCTCTCTTTCTCCCTCTCTTCCCCTATCTCTAAAAACAAATAAATAAAATCTTTAAAAAAATATGATTGTAAAAATAAAATGTATGAAAATGTATAGCCCAGAGAGTAAAGCTGACATATTAATATGCCAAATAAGTCAGATCCCTAAGGATAGTGAGAGAATCAAAAAGTGGAGTGTCTTGAATATTAACAATTTCCCAACACCTAAAAAAGAAAAATAGAATAGAACTTCTCAAAAAAAATTAATTCACATATTTTAAAAGTTGGCATAAGAAGGTCAAAGATTTGCCCTAAACTCCCAAATACATAAGATGCATTGTCTCCGCATCTGTGCCCAGATGAGAAAGCTTAAGAGTACAGTACACACATCAAAACAAGAATAGTTTTCACAGAATCATAAACCTGACAGCTGAAAGAAGACCTGGAGGTGTTGAGTGCAAGTGCTCCTGTGTACACACATCCCCACAACGTGGTGATCCTGACTGTAAGTGCTTTTGGGGCCTTGAAACTGGTTCTGATACACTGGCAGGAAGGAAATGGTCCAAACTGAGGGGGCTCAACAGTTCTAGATAAACATTCCTGATAATGCAAAATGCTTTGTTTTACCCCAAATATTACAAGCCCTGATTGCACACTATTTTAAATACTTAAGAGTATGAAAGGCTGACCACTTCCAGCTAAAAACACACTGATGCTGGCCCAGCAGAACAGCAACCTGACTCCTTTCCTTATCTTTCTTCCATGAAAACATTGAGATCAGAACACTTCTCCCTCCCAGGGTGCAAATTTATCAGGAAAATTACTGCCACCCAGAAGACTGCACCCAGCATTTTCCATGCTGCTCAGAGAAAATGAGGGCAAGGTGGGAGGAGGTAGGGCCACATATGGTGAGCCACTAGGGAATCTGACTGTGGCCAACTGGGTATTTATGCAAAATGACAGTGAAAAATGAGAAATGTGAAATTTGAAAAAGAAAACAAGTATGTGAATATTTCTTTACATTCCTTGCAGACAACCTCTGGTGTTAAATGACTTTTTGGGTAGAGTGAAAAATTCTTTATACATTTCATATGATGTGCATATACATATGAGCTAAGTTGTGTGTGTGTGTGCGTGTGTGTGTGTGTGTGTGTGTGGTTTCATATACCCAGTTCACTCTCTGGGTGACATCTTACCTGCCACTGGTTTCCAGCCTGACCAGGTACATAAGGTGCTGGGAGGCTCCGAAGGCTGTTCTTCACCGGGGATCCCCCAAGGGGGTTTCCCACATCCCCGGAAGAGGAATCAGCAGTCAAGGCCATGGAGTACTGTGGGTAGTTGTACAGATTGTTGTAGTAAGGAAACAGAGATGGCTGATAAAAGCTGCTGTAGTAGGCGGAGTCTGACACCAAATCAGGTGTGTTCTCCACGTGCCCTCTGCTGGTGACAGCAGGAATATCCTGGACAACCATACGTCCATCTAGAAAGAAAAAAAAGACAATATGGTATTAACCTCAGGGCTCTCAAAACTTTGCATCCCATGACAATCCTCCTCAAGATCTGCAGAGCTACAAAACAAGGTACCTGACCATGCTACTTCACCTGCAGCCAAAATGAAAGAGGCTTTGTAAGGCTGGCATAATTCTGGTGGTGCAGATGACAAAAGTCCTGCAGATTACTTTCACTAAGGATATCAAACACATTTTAAGGGTCATTTTAATTATATGAAGTCTGACCAGTAACTTCTATCCTAATATCAAGAAAATAGAGATCAAATCCAATTAACTTGGCTGTCCACAACAACATTCTTACAGCAAAATTATTTATAATTCATTTTAAATAGGTCACAAAAGAAAATCCCAGCATCCTAACTATGGTGGCCCATAGATATGTCAGAAAGTCAAAGCAAGAAGTTAAGAGTTTAAGCAAACATTGTTTCCTTTACTTCCTTCCACAGCTGATATCCTAACCTTCAGAAGGCTGGACAACAATTTAGACTACAAACTTCAGCCAGTTAGTAATTTTTTTAAGCTTTGTGGTCCACTCAGTTGCAGAATATACAAGTTGTTCCATGGTTATGTTTTATTCAGTAAAACTTTATCCACAGATAGTGGGCAAAAAAGGTACATGGGCTATACAGATTGCCAGCCCCAGGTCTGCACTTAAAACTGTGCCAATTCCATTAAACAACCAGATGGATTCCTGAGTAACCCTTTCAATGGACAGGTATTAAACCATGTTCGAAGGGTTGGTCCAGGTGCCTGAAATGGCTGCAAGACATCAGGCTACCCCTGCCCAACGGGAGGTCTACCATATAGGAGGAAAAATATGACAGGATTACAAATAATAACAAGGATTATCGATGCAGGAACACCATAAACTTTCACAAAAACTCAAAGGCTGGAAAGATGACTTGCAGCCTAGAAAGAAATTACAGAGACCTTCATAGGAAACCCTGCATCTCAAGGGTATTATGCTAAATGAAGTAACTCCAACAGAGAAAGACAAATACCATATAATTTCACTTATATGTGGAATAAAATAAACAAAATAAACTGAAAAAAAAAACAGAAAGAAACCCATAGATACAGCTGTCAGTGGGGAGACAGGGTGGGGGCTGGGAGAAAAAGGTGAGGGGATTAAGCAGTACAAAACTGTTACCAGTATTTACTGTTAGAGATGTGAATTACAGCATAGGGAATATAGTCAATAATGAGATAAATATATATGGGGCCACGTGTACTTGAAGCAGCACGAGAACTACTCTGTAAAGTACATGATTTTCTAACCACTCTGCTGTACACCTGAACCTAATACAGAATACTGAATGTAAACTGTAATTGAAAAATAAAAATTAATAAAAATAATAAAATTAAAAATGGAAAAAAAACTGCACCAGAGTTGCACCTTAAGAGAACAGGAAACAGGTAAAAAAAAAAAGAGAGAGAGAGAGAGAGAGAGAGAGAGAGAGAGAGAAAATGAGTAATGAGAAAAGGGCCCAAGGAACAAAGAAAAGCAGGAAGGTGGAAGGTAAATTTGGGTGCAAAAAGGAAAAGGGAGGTCCAGTCTGACAGGTGGACTAGAGCCAGGTGAGGGAAAGCCTCAGTCCAGCTCTCTGGCCTCTTGTCAGGGTGTGCCGGGAACCGCTGAGGATTTCTGAGCAAGGAGAGGAGAGGACAAGAGCCATGCTTGGGGGATTTATCTGATGGCAAAGCATTGGACAGGCAAAGGAGGAAAGACCAGGCACAGAGAGCCACAAGGGAGCCACTGACAAAGTCAGGGAGAGACCTAGAAGACTCAAACATAACTCAGGGGACAGGTGCTAGGAACCTGCGGGAGATGTAACTCAAACTAGAGGATAGATAGGACATCACAAAATAAGATGCAGGAGTAGACAAAGAAATGCAAAGCAGATATCTGGGACAGCAGGAAGGCTGGATGTGACAGAGGAGAGGGAGGTGGTAAGTCTGCTCCACTGAGGTGCCATAGGGCCATGCAAGTAAAAGAGACGAATGTGGGTGAGAGACTTGACACTTGCACTCATGGGAGAGGCTGACGTTGGAAGCTGGGGTTCAGGAGTCGCCACTGGGAAATTCTGGCTGCCTCTAGGGAGAGCAGGAGGGGGTTGTTACAGAAGAGCATATTCTGAGAAGAGAGTCAAGATGGCTGCAGTTGGGGAGAACTGAGGATAAACACAATAGCACAGAGGCCAAAGCTGACGTGAACTGCGGAGGAGGCAGGCTGTGCTGTCAACTGCTGCTAAGAGATCAAGCAAAACTAGTTCTGGAAAAGGCCAACAGAGGGTTAGGTTTTTCAGGACCTGTGTTTTTAGCACAGAAGGAACAAGAGGGCAAGGAAGCAATGAGGAAACAGAAGCGATGGTCCTTGTGTCTCACCAGAGGTGAAATCCAGCAAGTGGGCACCATGCCTGTAGGCTTCCCCTTGCCCTGTGCCTAGCACACTGCTGGCCACCTGGTGGTAAATATTTGAGACAGGGGTCAATAAATAATGGTTCTTCAAGTACCTCAACATCCAAATAAATGTGAGATGTTATTTCATTTTTAAAACATGGAGAAAGGCTAAGCATATGTAGGCAAGGAAAAGAAGCAAATGGAGAGAAATTCTCAGGACAATCAGTGCACGGCCTGGAGCCGGTGCGAGAAAAATGTCCACCAGCTGGACGTGTGGAAGAAGAAGAAGAAAACATACAACAGAGGACACGGCTAAAAGTGCACGCTCTGGACAACAAAATGTACTTTACTTCTCATTTTAAAGTCAGAGCTAAAGTCTCCTCTCTGAAAGGATACCAGACCCACCCACCTTAGGCTCCTGTCAAGCCACTTTTTATTACATTTCTCTCCTTTCTTCTCCTTTTCCCAACTAATGAGATAAAAATTCCAGTTCCATTATTCTACACTGTATCTGGAGAAGGAACATGTCCTCTTCAACCTCCCGCTGGTCCTTTCTCTTATTTTAAAGACCAACTTAGTGACATAATAGGTGGTTTTCACTCTCTAATTCTTTTGTTTTCCATGTCTTTATCACTTACCTAGTTATAAAAGCAATACAAACCTCACCAAAATGGTAAATTATATGAATGTTTACATCAGAAAAGGAGTGAGTGACATATTCTTACCACCCAGTCATAAGCATCAGTGTGACATCCATATATGATCTCACAGACATTTAGGAAGGCATTTCAGACGCTTAGCCCTGGGCCTGCAGTAGAAATAACTGGCTATCCCTTTGGGCCTGCCCTTCAAAAACAAGGTTCTTAATAAAGAAAGCACAATACTGTAGCAGATAAAAGAATTAAATAGAAACTGAAGAGCAGCAGTATTCTAGGATCAGGGCACAGGTTCCTGAATTTCTGGATTTCTTATCAGGCCTTAGTTTATCCAGCAACAAAATGTTGTCAGTAATACTCTCAATATAACAAGAGAATGGTTTCAATAAGCTGCATAGTAAACCTCAAATAAAATATTATGTCAGGTCAAAGCAAGAATTTGTTTGGCTACAGCTGATTGTAATTAGTTAACAATGACCTCACTTTCCTACTTAACCATATTTTATTTCCTACTTCAAATCACAATGAGCTTTAATAACAAGTTTTCTTTTCTTTCTTTTTTTAAAAGATTTCATTTATTTATTTATTTATTTATTTTTGAAGGGAGAAAGAGAGAGAGAGAGAGAGAGAGAGAGAGAAAGGGAGATAAACATTGATGCATGAAAGAAACATCAGTCAGCTGCCTTTCCCACACCACCAGCCAGGGACCTGGCCTGCAACCCAGGCATGGGCCTTGGCCAGAATCGAACTGGTGACCCTTCAGTTCACAGGCCAGTACTCAATCCACTGAGCTACACCAGCCTGGGCTAGTAACAAATTTTCTTAAAAGAATAAATTAAGATATATTTTGGAAAAGTTTCATTTCATACCAATATTTAAATAATAAAAAGCATTTGCATTCTATAAAAGTAGATGTTTAAATATTCTACATACTTAAAGTATTTAAACACTTTAAAAATTGGCCTTTGTAAAAGTACTGAGAGAACCTATTCTAAGGACACATAAAATTACTAAACTCTAGATTTTATAATTCACCCAACAGTATTTTCAAGTTGCCAATGAAAACATGTGGTCAATGTTAAACACCTTTATGACTCCCAGCCTTTTTCTGATGTTGCTAATAGATGGAAATTTCCCAAGGTTGAAATAAACTGCATGTGCCTAATCCAGTGGTGCTCAAAGTACGGTCATGGATCGGCAGCTCCAACACCACCTGAAAACCCGCAGAAATGCTCATTTGTGGATCCCACCCAAGACCCACGGAGTCTGAAGCTCTGAGGGTCGGGCCCAGCAATCTGAGTTTTAACAATGCCCTCAGAGGGTTCTGATGCAATCAAAAGATTGAGAACTGCTGGTTCACTCTCAGGATTCAAAGCAACTGCTTCATAAATTATCCTTAAAAATATGTAACCCCTGACAGCATCATTGTGACAGTCCTGACTATCAAATAAGAACGTGCAAAGGAATTCCACTGAATAAAGATGATGGGCTTCTACCTAAATCACTGCAAACCTCGAGCCACAAGCTGTGTGCTGTGAATTCTTGTATCTACAAACACGACCAACAGCATTCATCAGCAGAGAGGTCTGCAGGCTTGATCACTTCTCATTCCAATGCTCACATCTGTGGCTCCATACATTTACCTTCCACAGTTTAGTTCTTTGGTAAGCCTTCCCAATCCTTCTGCTACTTTATTTTGCACTAACATATGCAGTGTGAAATATGATTCACTCCTTCACAAGCAATCAATACACGAACACATGATAAATACCATTATCGATCTTGCAGTGTTATATGCTGGTTTCTGGGCCCGTGGCATATTAATAGTAGTTAACCAGTAATTCATTTTAAGGCATGTGAAGGCTCCCCCTGCCACACCTTCTCTAATGTCAAAATTCCCAGAGTTGTTGCAC